GTGCAGATTACACCATCTCAAAGTGTGAAACACAGCATTGTATTTCTATTGATTAGTGCTAAATGAAAATAAAGATATACAAATAACAAAACCAAGCTCTCCAATCAAATCATTAAGACACAGCAGAGTGCTAGGGGTGTAGCTCAGTGGTAGAGCACATACTTAATATTCCAGAGGCCCTAGGATCAATCCTTAGCATTTAAAAAAAAAAAAAAGACAAAGAAGCCAGGTATGGTGGCCCATGCCTATAATCCTAGCACTCCAGAAGCTGAGACAAGAGGATTCCTGAGAGTCCAAGGCCAGTCTGGGTTATATAGTGAGTTCAAGCCCAGCCTGGACTATAGAGTAAGACCCTGTCTCCAAAAAAAAAAGAAAAGAAAGGAAGGAAGGTAGAAAAAGAGAAAGCAAGAAAAAAAGAAAAGAAAGAAAAGAAAAAGAAAAGAAAGGAGAGAAAGGAAAGAAAAAAAGAATCCTACTACAAGGGAGGAGAAATATATTCATTGTGAAAATAAATAAAACTAGAGTACTAGAACAGAGTTACTGAGCTTCAAACATGCTTACAGGACAACTAGACAGCATGAACTTTCACATTTCACACAGATTAAGGAAGCGATCCACAAAGAAAGTCCACTCTAATAAGACTGTAGTTTCTAATTGGGCATGGTGGCGCACGCCTATAATCCCAGCACTCAGGAGGTTGAGGCAGGAGGAACCCCACAAATTCAAAGCCAGCCTGGATTAGATAGTGACTTCAATGCCAGCCAAGACTACATAGCAAGATCCCATCTCAAAAAAAAAAAAAAAACATTAAAAAGACTAGTTTCTTCTAAAGCCTCTCCAAAAAAAATAAATAAATAAAGCCTCTCCAAAAACACTTCAGTGAAGTTCTACAGGACTCACATTCTGCCTTGAGCAAGTTATTTTTTGGACATTTATTATTCCCTCTTCAAGCCTGTGCATGGGATTTGGTGTCACATAGAAAGAGAATATGATACATCAACCACTGGATTTCTCTGTTCAAAAGAAATTGAGGGCTAGGCATGGTGGCAAATGCCTATAATCTGAGCACTTGGGAGGCTGAGGCAATAGGATCCCTATGAGTTAAAAAAGTTAGCCAGAACTATGTAGTAGGATCCTCTCTCAAAAAATTAAATAAATCAATTGGGGCAACTGAAAGCTATGCTATGTATCACATTGCCTATAAGAAAGATTTTAGAGGCCTAATTTCTAAGACAGGGGCGAGAATCACATACATGACTTTTGTTTAAAGATACAGGGATTCTAGAATTGGATAACTAAATACAACAGCATTTTCGGGTTTTGGGGTTTTGCTGGGGTATTTTTTCGGTGGGTTGTTTTTGTTTTTGTTTTTGTTTTTGTTTTGTTTTGTTTTGGTTTTTGAGACAAGGTCTCAAATGCAGGCTGGCCTTGAACTCAGTTATGTATCCCAGGTTGGCCTCAAACTCACAGTGAGTGTTCTGCTTTAGCCTTCCCAGCGCTGGGATTACAAGCATGTGCCACCATGCCCAGCTAGAATAGCACCTTGTAAAACTGTTTCAACAAAAGTTATCAAGCTATATTTTTCAAGTACTTTACAGGGAATATGTAACACCATCATTTGCCTACCTTTGACCACAATATATAAAAGGCCTCTGAAAAAATATGATTATTACTGGCAGGAAGAACTTGAATCTAAGACTTGAACAAAATTATCAAGAAAAGTTCTCGAGGGCCAGGGATATAGCTCAGTGATATAAGCTTGTCTGATAAGCCTGAGGTCATGAGTTTGATTCCCAGTACCAAAAAAAAAAAAAAAAAAGAAAAGAAAGAAAGAAAGAAAACAGAAGAAAAGTTCTCAAGTGAGGAAGAAAGTAGAAGAGTCCAGGTTGAAAGTTCTACTTGGTCAGATCCACTAGCAAGAAGGATAATGTACAACAGAATGTTCAGTTTAATGAAGGAATGTTTCACTTCTCTCAAAATTCAAAAGAGAATGCCAACAGACCAAATTATAACAAATTTACTTATAGATCTATTTGTGTTTTATCTGTGATTCATGAATCAGGGCAGCCTCCATTCTACAAAACAGAAATGAGAGGCTGGGGTTGTAGCTCATGGTGCAGCAACTGCCTAACGTGTGCAAGGCTCTGGGTTCTATCACAAAACAAACATAAAAACAGGTGGACAATAGGAAACAGTGAGTTTTGTAAGGAGAAAAAAAAAAAATGGTTAACATAAGGTTGAGACAGGAAAGAAGGGGCTGATGCTCCTAAGAGGTGCTTCATATTTTTTCTTCCGTGGTGTCCTCAACACCTGGCAGCAGACCAAACTGAGCAAAAGAACTCTCAGCTGATGGGTGACTGTTAAGGACCTGAGCAAGGCAGAGACCAGCCGAGACCACCAGGCTTGTGTAAAGGCAACATGGCATGGAATTTATTACACATGGGTGCAAGCAGACAGAGGGTGAAAAGGCCGTCTGTAGGTGCAAACAAGACGGTTTTTTTTAATAACGACTGACAGAAGGCAAGAGGTGTTCAGTGGAAAGATCTTAGTAAACCTCATTGGTCAGAGTTCTCTGGATATTTCCTGCCTCAGTGAGCAAGGTCCTTGAGGCGTCCAAGGTGAATGCTTGGGTGTCTTCAGATGTCCCACTGCTTGCAAGAGTCTGTGTTCCATCTTTTCTCTGTTAATACACCCTGTGTTTGCGGAGGGCAATGGCGCTGAGCTGAGGAACAGCGCCTCTGCTGGCAGACAGGCTGGGTGTTGGGAGAATCAGGTCTGAATCAAGCTTTACAGAGACAAGGTTACTTGGGAATACCTTTTTATAAAGGTTAAAAACACCCTTCCTTATAAAGACTCACAAAGACTGGAATCTCCTATTTTCAGAAAAAATTGGTCTGTTTTAGGATGTTTCCTTAAAGTTTCACTTGGGTTCTACGGAATTTATCATGAGCAACTCAATTTTGGATTGGCATGGTCTGTTGCAGATTAGTATAAGAGCTCAATCGAAAACAATGCCCTTCCATAATCTTGTTTTAGCAAAAGTAACAGAGGACTTTAGAAAAACTGGGGTGACAGGCCATTTTCTGTTGTTTT